GGGGTGTGCCCAACCGTAGCAGCACATTGATTGGATGCAGAGGGACCGCACGGCTCTCACAGCCCAAGTCGTGTGCAGTCAGCACGCACCTGACTTCATGTGCCCTTGCTTTACGTGCATGTCACTTTTGTAATAGCAGGAGGAAAGAAACTATGTGAATGGAGTCTAGCAGAATCTGGCAACGCCGCCCATAAGCGACGGCAGGGCCACGCATAGAACCCTGATGGGCTGCATGCGGCCTGCTGGCCGCAAATTGGCCACCACTGCTGTGGAGAAATGAAATTTTAGCTCGCCATTCTTAGGTACATACACAGTACCAGTGGGGTACAGTCCTACTTCAATGAGACTGGGTCTTAGAATGCTGGAGTAAATAAAGGGCTCTGATCAAGTGCAGGCTGAGGCAGAAACCATGCAAACTCACTTCGGCTGTGTCTAGACTGGCCAGTTTTTCCGGAAAATCAGCCGCTTTTTTGGAAAAACTTGCCAGCTGTCTACACTGGCCGCTTGAATTTCCGCAAAAGCACTGACTTCCTACTGAAAGAAATCAGTGCTTTTTGCGGAAATACTATGCTGCTCTCATTCAGGCAAAAGGGCCAGTGTAGACAGCTCAGATTTGTTTTCTGCAAAAAAGCCCCGATCGCGAAAATGGCAAAAAAAGTGCTTTTGCGGAAAAGCGTCCGTGCCAATCTAGATGCGCTTTTCCGAAAATGCTTTTAATGGAAAACTTTTCCGTTAAAAGCATTTCCAGAAAATCATGCCAGTCTAGACGTAGCCTTCCAGTCTGCTCTGTGAATGCCTCTGCATCTTCTTTATCCTGAGTTTGACTAGGCCTCTGTTTTCCAGCACAAATCTATGTCTAAGTGATGAATTCTGTGCTTAGCATGGTTACTGGTTTGAACAGCGACTGCCAACTGTGTCAGATGTGGTGAGGCTTGTGTGAATTATGTTTTCACAAGGTGCGCAGACCTTGAACGGGTTGTTAAAACATCGCCAGAGATTAAAGGCCACTGCATTGCTGTAGCCAGTCAGACTTTTGGAAGGTCAGATGTGTGTGTGCGCGCTTTTACGCTCGGTAACTGCATGAGTAACGGAGTGACAAAGTATGTATATGAAACATACTAGATGCCTGCTGCTGCTCCCATTGAAATCAATGGCAAGGCAATGAGAAAAAGTTCTGGCTCTAACAGACAGAGCAAAGCAGAAATACAACAATGCAGGGTATTCTGCCCAGGTCTACTGCTCAGTAGTTTTTAAGAGTAAACATGGAAAGGGATATCCACCAGCTAGGAATATAACAGGAGCAAATGAAAGTGTGATTGTGGAATAGTCTGAGCTATATTTTTTTGCCTGGCCCTGCAGTTATTTAGTTACAGTGTTGTCACTGTGAATGAGCTGAGTCACAGAGAACACAAATTCTGCTGTCCAAAATTATCCCCCTACCCTCGCTATGAGGAATTAGCCCTTGTTAACTCAAATAATAATGCAACATAAATCTCAGCTTCCCCAAAAGTCACCATTCTTAGGCTTCCCCTGAGGGATCTCTTCTGCTCTATCTTTCTAGTTTCCTCGTAATATCTTGATGGGAGCTAATTGGATTTGGAGCAATAATTACACTGATCCTACACAGGGTTTTAGCATCCAGAGTGACCTGACACAGGCTCTGAGTCAGAGTCTACTGCACTAGTACATCTCCTTGGGCTTCAAGTTCTCACCCATGGAGCTGACTGAAGAAGTTCACCTTTTTAAAAAGCAATCTGGTGGTGCGCTGAAGAAGCCGGAAGGTAGCACGGAAAAGGACCACAGACGGCACGTTGTCTCCCTCAAAAAGAGGAGCAGGAAGCTTAATTTCTTGAACGGCAAAGCTTGCTTTCTGAGGAGCGTGTGTTAGCTCGGCATTAGGGATGGAAGACCTCGTAGGTGGGCTGCATCTCACCTGTAGGCTGGGAATGAGACATCCAAGGATTTGTAAAAGATAAGACACTACAGGCCTTTAGAAGGAAGAAGGTGGAATTTAGAAGATGTTACACGAGCTAGCTATGGATGACCAAAATTTGAGCACTTTTCCTAGCCTAGACAAAATCCGAGGCTATCTTGACTTTGCCAAAAATGGGGTGGTAGATGGGTTTCGCTGCGTGCTAGTCATCGCGCTGCAAAATTCTAGTGGGGGGAAGGTGTAGGCAGTTTTTGCTGCGATGTAGCGAGGGGAGGTCAACACTACACGTCCCAACCCGGCTAACCTTTGCTTAGCTACATTGTGGTAAAAACTACAGGCCCTTGTCTTCACTAGGACTTTTGACAAGGTCGGTGCTAATGTGCCTTCATTATCTCGCTGTAAAAAACCACCTTTCTGACTTTTGGCAGTGAAAGTGCATCCGAAAGGGAAGCTGTAGATGTTCTACTGTGAGAGTTCCTCCAAGTGGGTCTCTTCCTCCTTCAGCCCCTTGCCAGCTGATTTTTGTGGCTGGGAGCAAATCCCAGGGCATATCAATAACATCCAGCATATGACAACCAGGGACAGTTGAGCATGTAACTCATTGGAAAACAAAAGAGCTGGCGGAGACGAAAAGGGGGAGATGAGCTACGGCTCAAGCCTACCGTGTTTAGAATGAGACCAAATCATTTTGTCATTTCTATATAACTTCACGTTTCCATCCAGGGAGGTAACATTTTGAAAACCCTTCCTCCTTGCTGAATTTTGATCTGTGATCATTGTGCATAAGCTGTGGGAAAATCTGCCAACAACCCTAGATCCTACAGGCTAATTATACTTAAATACATAAAGTCAGTCTTTTCTTATTTTTACCTGTGTAATCCCTTTGTCTGTAGTGGGTTTCCTCAGCTGTGTGAACAGAATGTTGACACTGATGTATTAATACCGGACAACACACCAACGTTTCCCACTACATATGGGAGTTGTATGGATTTTTTAAAAATATACCGTACTACTGTCGATAGATAACCTGAAGGTGTGGTGCAGTTAGTGGGCTGAGGAAGGACTGAGTAAGCCAAAATTTGTTTGGGTTGTTATTATTTGTTATCTTTTGTTATCTTTCTTTGTCTTCCCTCTGAGTGTTTTGTTGGTTGATGGATAAGCAACAACGTTTAGGTGGAGACACAAACTATAAAAGGTTTTGGGTTACTTTCTTAAATATCTTCCATTGCAACATGTAAATCTTGAATCGATAAAAGAAAACCTGTATTGATTTCAGTGGGCACGCTGAGAGTATGGAATTGGGACCACAAACAACAGTTGTTGGTTTGGAAAATTGCCTTCAAGCTTGAAATGGGTTTGCAAACCTAGACAGTAAGGGAAGGTTGCAACATCTTGAAGAAAGTTGATCTCTAGGGGCTTTTTAAAACCTATTTTTTGTAAGGCAAATCTTAACATATTACACTGTATGCAACTTTTTTGCTTATTCAGGGTCAGGTTAGTATTCAAAGAACCTGGCTAATGATTTTGGCTCACTGGCGGGGGAGCCTTCCTCTTTATATGCTAAATGACCAAACTTCTAAATACTCCATCCTTTAAAAGCCAAATAAAAAAACTAAAACTACATTGGGCCAGCCTTTCATGTTAAGTACATTGTCATTCTAATCAGTTGTATCTAATGTTTGCGTGAAAAGAAATAATAGAAATATATATTTTTTAAAAATCAGTAAATATTGAGGCCCCAATCTGGATTATGACACCGCCCTCCTATCTCTTCTTGACCATCCTGCTGATTTTTTTGCATGTGATAGGCTTGGATGCACCACCTTGTTCCTATACACAGGCCTGCAGTGGAATGTACAGGGTTTGGAAAGCTACCAACAATTTTATTCAAATTCTGAATAATTGTAGCCTGGGGTGAATGTGTGAAACCCTTTACAGAAAAGAAATAGAATTCTAACTGTTGACCAGGACACTAACCCGATCCCAGATCCTCTTGTTTCCTCTAGATTACACACCACACTCTAATCTGGATTAACTCCCGATCTCTACAGCTGGTGACTTCTATTTTCAGTACTTCCTTTCCCTCTTGATCCTTTTCTCCTCTTCCTTCACATCCCAGCTGAATCTCTTCCCTACCCTGCAGTGTGCTGCCACTGCTTTACAAGGGTCCTCTCTCCATTTAACTTGTGTTATAAGTCCATCATGTAACAGCATGGAGAATAAATGAATGATTTGATCTAATTTATTTTCTCATTTAGTCAAAAATGCTGTCTCTTACCCATGGCCAAGTAGGCAGAAGTAGACCCACTTGGCAAATATACTAATGCCCATGCTATCCATGAGTAATATGCAAAGTTTATTGGTATAATTTATTATTTAAGGCTGATTTTGTCCAATTTTCTATGCCAAACTGAAAGCCCCTCCCAATATTTAAAAGACCCCATTAAAAACCAAGAATCGGATAATGAATTAGTTTTTCCATTGACAAAGTTTCGAATGAAGTCTTCCACAATAGCTGGAGCGACTGTACCCAACCATATCATGAGGTCCCACCTAAATAATCCTCCAGTCCCCTCACTGATCAATAAGCAATCTCCCAAAAATACCAGCTAGGAAAGATAAGCTTTGTGGTCAGAAAGGTAACAATCCCAGGAAAGGACAGAATTCCAAGGTCAAATCTCCTCATGAAGAACATCTGCTCTTGCTTGTCGGGCCTCCAAGGCTATGTCTGCACTCGCGGCTTCTTGCATGAGACATATGCAAATGAGGCTAAGCGTGGAATATTGCCGAGCCTCATTTGCATACCTAATGAGCCGCCATTTTTGCAGACAAGGATCTTGCGCCAGAAGGAGCCGTCTACCCTGTCCCTTCTTGTGCAAGAAAAACCCTTTTGTACAATGCTGTTATTCCTGAAAATAATCAGTGTAGTGGCATTGCGCAAGAGGGTTTTTCTTGTGCAAGAAGGGGCAGCATAGACAGCTCCTTCTGGCGCAAGATCCTTGTCTGCAAAAATGGCGGCTCATTAGGTATGCAAATGAGGCTCGGCGATATACCACGCTTAGCCTCATTTGCATATTTCTCACGCAAGAAGCCACGAGTGTAGACATAGCCCAAGGGTCTCAACGGTGTCAGTATGGCCCCGCGAGAGAGGCAGTCCCACAGCTAATGGGGTGTAAACCGTTCAGGGATAAGAACAGGTCCTTGAACTCCATCCAGAAACCAGTCAAGAATGCAGCATCCAGGAACATCAGAAAGTTCATCGAATAAGACATCTGTGACACTGAACTAGCTTTTACCTCCATGTGATCCTAATGCACAATCCCCCATGTGCAATGCATTGCCACAGTCCAGCCTTGAAGTGCCAAAGTCGTGGATGACAGTAGCCTCACCAGGTCTACACCTAAGAAAAATGCCCACATTCTTCTGGCCAGATGTTCAAGGAGGGGAAAGAACCTTTCTGGGTACAACTGGTGTCTGATCATCTGAAACTCCGGAAATTGGAGCTTGATCTGTCACTGGCAGGTGCATTCCCTCAATGAAACCGCTTCAGTCTTATCTGAATTAAGCCGGAACCAACTTAGCACCATCTACACTCTGATTCTGAGCTATTGGTTCCTCTGTATGAGTCAGATCGGATGCAGTGGAGTATTCTTAGCATATGGAACATACTGCACACTGTTTCCTCACTAACTCTCCTAACTGTCTATCAGTGCTGGAGAGACCAGGTGATTATATCAGATCCTAAAGGAGAGATTGTTGGGGGAAGAACAATTGTTCCAAACCATCCGTTGGGATCTCCCATTCAAGAACACTCTTGTCCATTCTTGTGAGTTACTGAAGAAGTCCCAACAAAATGTCCTGGTTAGAGAGAACAAAGACAGTGGAAGTTACATGCTGCCGCTGGTCAGGCCCACCTCAAGAGAGTCAATGCAGACTGGCCATTCTTAGTAGCCAGTGCCTTTCTTCTGCAGTTCTCTCAAACATGCTTAAACCTGGTTAGATTTAGGTAGACCGATCCAACACTCAATGAAGTCAATGGGGAAGCTCCACTGACTTCACTATATATTGGAACCAGCTCTTAGAACCCAGTTATCTGTTTGTCCAGGCTTTCCACTAATGGCAATCTTCTGTAATGTAGCCTACTGATTGGTTTCTCCCTCTCTGGCCTTTAAGGCTGATCCCTTGAAGCTGCAGAGCATTAGCATATGCTTTGGGGGAAGTATTGTTAAACCCTATGAAGTACAGGCAGTCCCCGACTTACGTGGAGTTGTTAAACCCTATGAAGTATTCATGGAGGCTACGATGACAGGCTTATTGATGATCTGTTATTGACAAAGAAGAACTAGATGCTCCAGACCTTAGCCTGTTTTGGGAGCACACCTGCCCACACTGCCAACTACAGCTGTCTTGTAACCAAATGAGTCACCAACTCTATTGTCACACAGTCACTGATGCAGTTGTTTTTATATATTATGGATTGTTTGATACAACAACTTGGAAAAACCTGATCTTATCCTCATCTTTCTTTTCTTTTTTTAATTGCTAAAGTCCCTTTATCATTTATTTTCATTGGGGAATTTTCTTCTAGCTGAATGACATTGATCTATGATAGTTGACCTTTAGCTCAGTCTGCACAACTCCCATCGTGATCAATTACTGGGTAGGCAGGCCCTGAAGTGATGAGAAGTATTGTTTGGTGGATTATGTGTAGACTACAATTTGCTGTTAACTTATGGATTGTTTTCAATTTGCTCACAGGATCTGGACTGCTGGACAGTTGTAGCTGTATAGGATGTCCAGTAGAGTTACATTAGGTTTGGATCTGTTCTCTGGGCCCACTTCTGATAAGAACCTTCATCTGTTAATTTAAATGTCTGGCTAAACGTCCTATGAACTCCTGAATTTCTGCATGGTAATCTCTACAAAGCTTTTGAGATAACCCCATTGTTGCTTGCTGGTTGTGTATATTATAGTACATCTCTATGGTGTAAAAGATGTACACCCAAGTTATGCCACAAGTAAAAAGGAGCTGTTGAGCCAATTGACAGAAAGAAGAAATATATGATAGGGTACAGACGATACCAGTGTATTTCCTGGCAATATGGGAAGCTATGAATCTTGCTCTGATGTAATAGCTGGATCATAACGACTGTTATTAGGATTGAATATGGTCTGGATTACGTATGTAAACCTTGATATTTTAGTTTTCTCTTTATTAGGACTGGATCCTAGCATAATATAAATCTATGGGAAATTGCAAAGGTTATTTCTGCTGGTCACATCCATCTATTTTTAAAGGGCCTACATGTTTATCAAGGCTGTAAAAACTGTGAATTTTTAATTTTATGTAATTTGTCTTACATGGTTCTTCTCTATTGTTTGGCACGTGGCACACAAAGATAAGTTCTCTGCGGATGTCAATGGGAACTGCTCTGCTGACTTGCATGGAGTTTTGTCCCATTCCACCAGCATAAAATTTTGGTCCAGAATGTTTTAGAGAAGAAAAGAAGGAAGGGAATATTGGAAGTAGAAGCTTCCAGTAGCTGCTGGAAGTGGCAGAACTGGCTAGCGGGACAGATGAGAAATCTAAAAGAAGTAGTCACAGCAGAGGCTAGGTCTACACTACACCTTGTTTTCGGGAAAAGGTACGCAAAATATGCTCCACATTTTGCATACCTTTTTTCAATTTTTTTTTCAGAAGCAGCTTTTCCCAAAATTTGGCCCGTCTACACTGGGCCAAATTTCGGAAAATCCCCCTCTTTCGGAAGATCCCTTCTTCCTCTTAGAATGAGGAAGACAGGGCTTCCGAAAGAAAAAGCAAAACCCCGCAGTCTAGATGTACCCAGAAGGGCCTGTTTGAGGAAGCGGGAGATGGCAACAAGAGGGAGGGAAGGGCATGGGTAGAACAATGTATATGGATAAAGATCCAAACCGGGGGTGTGAAACTGAGCTAAATAAAGAGCAAAAGAAACACCAGACATGACTAGGGAGAAAGTGGCAGAGAAAAACAGATGGTGAAAACAACCTATCTATATAGATAAGTGTCAGCTTCTGTTTGTTTTCCTCCCCTCCACATTTATGCTAGAGAAAAGGTTTGAACTGTTGCCTAATCTGCCTGTTGATTAAGTATTTTAAAAATATATCTATATTATTTTCCTCCCCCGTTACATACATTTGGCACTAATTACTTCGAAGTACAAATGGGGGTAATGCAGAAGTGTATATATATTAGGGCCTGCAGTCACTGCTAAATCTATCCAAATAAGCACTCAGGGTCATCTGTTTAGTTGGACTAATATTTAATTGGGGCCACATTAAGTTGCCCATTGAGCTAAATCAGGATCATAGTAACTTCTGGCTCTCTAACATGCAGGACAGGCAGGGTTCTTAAATACCTCTTCATACTGCATTTAGTGTTTTCAGCATATATTTGATACCTCGGCTGTGTCTACACTGGCATGAATTTCCGGAAATGCTTAAAACGGAATACTATTCCATTTTCAGTTATTCCGGAAAAGGAGCGTCTACATTGGCAGGCTGCTTTTCCGGAAAAGCCCTTTTTCTGGAAAAGCGTCTGTGGCCAATGTAGACGCGCTTTTCCAGAAAAGAGCCCCGATCGCCATTTTCGCGATCAGGGCTTTTTTCCGGAAAAGACTACTGGGCTGTCTACACTGGCCCTTTTCCGGAACAGTGTTCCGGAATAAGGACTTATGCCCGAGCGGGAGCAGAATAGTTTTTCTGGAATAGCGGCTGATTTTGTACAGTAGAGCATCGTTGCTTTTCCGGAAATTCAAGGGCCAGTGTAGACAGCTCGCAGCTTATTCCGGAAAAGCGGCTGATTTTCCAGAATAAGTGGCCCAGTGTAGACACAGCCCTCTTGTTTTGTAGGTTGAAATGGAAATAGTCTTGCAGGCCGAGATACTGGAGTTACATAGGTTGGAATTCAGCTTCAAAACCACAGACACTAACTAATCAGTGTGTGTGTGGAATTTACACATATTGCAAGAATTAAGGCTTGTACATGGATCTTTGGAGTTCTGTTTTCTACAGAATTTAGTTTAAAAACCAAGGTTAAGGCACTGAAGTTGCAGAGAGAGCCTACTGAATTTATACAGGGTTGCCTATAATCATCCTTAGAGGGCAGCTGCAAAAGATATGTTAATTGTCTCAATTGCTCACACTAGAATGTTAACTCAGGAGTCACTGACTTCCATGGGAACCCAGTTAGGCCAGCGGGGAGTGCTTTTGAAAATTCCCACCCTAAGCTGCCATAACTGAATTTCTTGGTTAACATGCTACTGAGATGAACAGGGTTAATGAACTCTTGATTTGCTGCTATCAAGGCTGTTTTCAAACCTTTCTGCATCACTCCGCAGGAATCAGAAAGTTAGCAGTTCAAGATGGCAGTTTCCAAAGTGCTCAGTTTTGGCCTAATTCTGCTCCACAGGACCAGAGTCACAAGAAGATGAGAGTCTGTGGACCTCCTACTATTATATATGTTTTCACTGCACAGTTAAATTGAGTTTTAGCCCAAATCCTCCCTACCACCCTCCTAGCACCACAGAAAATCCTTTTACTTGAGTTTGTAGGTGTGTTAAGCCTACACTAGTTTATCTCACAAGGGGCATGGGTTGGAGCCAAGCTATGCTTTTACTTGGGGATCTTTTCACTTTGCAGTGAGGATGCAGGCTAAATAATAATGTGGATAGTCCTCTAAGGCCTTCCCACAATTCCCTCCAAAGGGCAGACAAGTTCTCCTGAAGTTGACATCACTGTCTGAGAGAGAACCCCAGAGAGTTTAACCCCAAAGAACCATGGGATACGCACCCAGAGACCGATGCAGAACAGTCTCACCGGGGTTATCCTATGTCAAGTGCTAAGACCAGTCCCCCTGGTTAGCTGTGCAGCGAAGACATACCCCAAATGCCAACTCTTCCGTTGTCAATACTCTTAGTACAGTCGTCTCTACTAATGGTCTGTCAGATAAGTGAGATTTTTCCCCTCTCAGGATTTCCTCACTCCTGCATAAGGCAAGTAGATGCCTCTGTTTATTAGAAAAGTCCTGGGTTTGTTGTATTTTCAGTAGAAACATATGCCCTCTTCTTTCTTTACATACTTTACTATGTACCACTTGCTGGCATCTCCAATTAATCACGGGACAGATGAATTGGGTCTCTCAAATCCTGGTGTTGCATTAGCTAGCAAAGGTTGGAAACTGGCAGTTCCCGGACTCCTGTTCGCTCAAGAGGCTGGCAGACAACTGGGCCCTTACCTTTTCTTTTCGTTTGAGAAAGGCCTCAGGATGTCTAACAGCAGAGGAAGGGCAGGGGATCAGCAAGCAACCCTTCCATACTCTGTAATCTGCATCCCCAATGATCTGTCTCCCCTCTAATCCCAGGGGTGCTGGAACAATTTTTATAACAGGGGTGCAGAAAGATCTTGAACCCAACTGTTTGTTTTGACATGCTTTCCATTATAGAGGGTGCTGCATCACCCCTCAGTTTCAGCATCCTTATGTCTAATTCTGCCTACTCCTTCCATCCTTGACGACAAGCCTGCTATTTTCAAAACTCTCATGCAAGCCCTACAACAAAGCCCTAAAGTCCACCCACACTCTGCTGCCAAAGTCTCTCCCCTGCAATCCCAACTCACTTAATACCTGCTGTCAAAGTTTCCCCAGAGAGTCTTTTGGACAAACTTTCTTGTGTCTGGTTAAGCACTGGAATAAATTACCTGGGGAGGTTGCAGAATCGCCATCATTGGAGATATTTAAGAGCAGGTTAGACAGACACCTATCAGGGATGATTTAGACGGTACTGGGTCCTGCTGTGAAGGCAGGGGACTGGACTTGATGACCTCTCGAGGTCCCTTCCAGTTCTAGTGTTCTATGATTTTATGATTTCTGGTGGTGACTTTCCTTGGCATGGTGCTGCTCCTTGCTTGGCTATAAAGGTCATGTGGGAGACATTAGTCATGCTCTCCAAGCAAGGCCTTCTCATCCCACTTCCAATATGCTCCCAGTCTGGTACTGGCCTTCCTTGACAGTAATACAGGGAGTAAAGTGCTGCATGAAAATCCAGAACATAACCCACAGCTCCATGTTGTCATAATCAAGACATAACAATTAACATGTTTTGAGATACCTACAACTATCCTTAACAATAAGTAAAAGTTGCTCAGAATATTGTCTACTAGAAAGAGATTTTGCTGTGGTCATGCTGTTTGCCTTTTATTGTGAGGTTTCTCCAACATATGGTCCCCATAGTAGTCTCATTCACATTTATGAATGGTTCCCTTTCCTTTGTCTTATGCTCTTTGGTTTTAAAACACAAATAAGGCAAGGATCAATTAAAGTCAAAAATTGAATGAGAAACCAAAGCAGAATTTTAGCTAAAATCTTCAATGGAGTTTAGCCAGTTTGGGGAGAAATTCGGTGTAGTTTTTGCTAAAATTCTCTGATTTATATTATCCTTCCTCCAAGTTGCTCATAACACCAGTTAAACTACCGCAGAACTGCAGAGAATGGAAATTGGTTGTAACTCTGAAATGTTTGTAGCTCTGAACAAAACATTATAGTTTCCGTTCAAAAGTCTGCAGCTGAATATGGACAGCATTCAGAGAGGTAGCCTTGTTAGTTCTTTTTAGCAAAAACAAGGGGTGTGGTGGCACCTTAATGACTAGCCACTTTACTAGAGCATAAGCTTATATGAGATACAACTCACTTCCTCAGATGCTTGAAGAGGAGGAAAAACAAGAATTCAGAAATGGGAGTGCTAAATAAATCAGGGTGGATGTGGCTCACCTCCAACAGCGATGAGAAGATGAAAGTATGTGAAGGGGAAATTACTTTTTGTAATGAGAAAGCCACTCCTTGTCTCTATTTAGACCACTTTTGATGGTGTCAAATTTGCATACAAATTTCAGTTTAGCAGTTTTGTGTTGCAGTCTGTTTTTGCAGGTTTTTTGTTTTTGTTTTTTGGTTTTTTGCTTAAGAATGGCAACTTGCAAGTCAATAATTGTGTGTCCGGGCAGGTTAAAGTGCTCTCCCCCCAGGTTTTCTTTTTTTGTGTTACCATTCTTGATTTCTGATTTGTGTCCATTTATTCTTTTGCATATAGTCAATCCGATTTGTCCAATGTTCATGCAGAGGTACATTGCAGGCACATATCAGATTAGTAGATGTGCAGGTGAACAAGCCTTCAATGGGGTATGGCTTGATGAGGGTAGATCCTGTTGTGGTGTCAGCAGGGTAGATGTGTAGACAGAGTTGGCAACAACGTTTGTTGCAGGGATTGGTTCTTAGATTAGTGTTTCTGTTGTGGGATGTGAAGAAAAATGCTGCTTTTAACCATCTTAATTGAAATGAAACACAGGTACAACTTCCTTACATTCTCAAATCTTTTAAAAAACTTTCTTTAAAAGAAAATAGTTTTGATGTTTAACACATTACGGTACTGGATTTGTTTCCTCCCCCCCCCCCCC